ACTAGTAAGGTTACCGTCGGTTGCTGCGTACAAGTGCGCAATTACACGCTGCGCACACTTGCATATCAAGCTGCAGTGACTCGAGGATATCTCGTTCCAGCTCTTTTGGGCGCTTTTGAGCGAAGTATGGCCAGAGCCTTATGGTTTACATGTATATGGTTTGAAAAAGTTAGCCGTCCTATACATGAATAAAAAGCCAAGGGAATAACGTTACAGCATTTTGGTAGTAAGACTATGCGAAAAATAATCATAAAAAGAAGTGAAAAGCGAAGTACCGATGTTTTTCTTTGCCTTCTGCTTCTCTTCTTCCAATCTGACCGACAAATCATACTCGCGGTCAAATTCACGCTGCAGAGCCCTTGCCATCTCTTCGTCGTTCGTATACATCTGAACTAACGAAATTTAGAAACTTTTAGCTAATAACTAGATACCGAAATACTCACCCTTTCAGCTTCACTCTGCGCAACAGCCCTCAAGAACTCCTCTTCCTTCTTCTTTTCCTCTTCGTTCAATGAGTCCGCCAAATCCTCACTCATGATTTCCACAAAGGAAACAATCGGCTCACAATCCTTAAGCGTTTTTGTAACCTCACCAGAAGCCATTTGCATACACTCACCTCTTCCTGTCGACCCCAAGCTGTCTTCCCTCCCCATGCACTACATTCACCTTTCCCCGACATTTCGCTTGTTGCAGATAACAATTTTACCAAAGAGTAAAATGTGATAAGTACTTATTATCTGCAACAAGACCGAAATGTGATGTCGAGGACCAAACCCAATGGCTTCGAGGGAGATGTTGTTCCCTGGAAAACAAAATGTAAGTGCCCTATATGATCTTGCGAGACTTCAAAGAACGGGACATCTTCGAGTGCTAGGATATCTGCACAGATCATGCACTAATGCACCGAAATGTCACCAGAAATTACAAAAGTGAAAAAACGCCCGGAAAACACCGCAAACGCGGAGACCAATCGAGGCGGCAGCACAGACTAGAGCTGGCCGAGTGACACTCGCTTTGAGATAGCCTGTTCCTAAAAAGGCCAACGCGTCCGATATCGAGTCATCACTGAAGTGCAAATGTACGTCAAACTACAAGCTAAGCATAAGTTAGCAAGCTTGATGCTTCCAGAACCAGGGATAAGAAGTAAAAACGATCCACAAAACCAAAATGGGTACTTCCATGGGAGTACCTCGCTAATAATAATTGCGTTTTTTAGCGATTCGCGTGTTGCATCTTCACGTATTTTCCAGTAGCATGGAACCCTACAGATACGTCCTAACGCCAGAAAATTCAGTGATATTCTCTGTGCTCTGGCTGATCTCCACAACGGAAGTCTTCATCTGACCAGGGAGGCTCACGAAGTCGAACTGCGATCGCCATAAATTGCATACCATTAGTAAAAGCTTGAAGTGCTGTTTCCGATTCCGCTTTACTCATTTGCAGACCCCTTCTGGGAAAGAGAGATCACTTGAGTAAATTTTTGAGATAATATTAATTGTTACGCTTCTCTAGACCTTAAAGGCAGTGTTCATGCAAATTTGAAGGCCTGGATTTT